TATTCTAACTTAAATCTTGCTGTGCTTTGTGTATTACTGTCAGATCTGTGAGTAATCCAGTTTGAAACTTTGCCTCTATGTAGAAGTTTCCTGTAATAAAGACTGGTCACTGCTGCTCTCTTTCCTAGCGCAGGGTGACTGAACTTGCATACCCTCATTCACTATATCTGGTCTCCCAGGACCCTGCATTCATTATATCTGGTCTCCCCGGACCCTGCATTCACTATATCTGGTCTCCCAGGACCCCGCATTCACTATATCTGGTCTCCCCGGACCCCGCATTCACTCTATCTGGTCTCCCCGGACCCTGCATTCACTGTATCTGGTCTCCCAGGACCCTGCATTCACTATATCTGGTCTCCCAGGACCCTGCATTCACTGTATCTGGTCTCCCCGGACCCTGCATTCACTATATCTGGTCTCCCCGGACCCTACATTCACTATATCCGGTCTCCCCGGACCCTGCATTCACTATATCTGGTCTCCCCGGACCCCGCATTCACTCTATCTGGTCTCCCCGGACCCTGCACTCACTATATCTGGTCTCCCCGGACCCTGCACTCACTATATCCGGTCTCCCAGGACCCTGCATTCACTATATCTGGTCTCCCCAGACCCTGCATTCACTGTATCTGGTCTCCCAGGACCCTGCATTCACTGTATCTGGTCTCCCCGGACCCTGCATTCACTATATCTGGTCTCCCATAGTACACAGAACATGGAAATGCAACTATTTTAGTAAATATAAACTGCTAAATAACTTTTTTCATCACCATTATATAGCAGTCTTGGAACTTCTATCAATGTCCAGCTGAGCACTGGTTATTCTTGTAGGAGGAGTTTGCATTCTCCCCTGATTGTCCTATGAGGCTGCAAAACCCCTCACCCTCTGTTTGGACAGTGCTGATTGGCCCTGTGCAGATCACATGCACCCTCCCAAAAAAATAAAATAGTCCCATTGCTAAGTAAAAGCAGTACACACTTTACACGTGTTAGGAACACAGTTAACCCATATGGAAGAAAAATATATTTGAAATATATTTTGAAAAAATTCTTCCCAAACATATTGACATATATTTGAAATACTACAATTTTGGCCATATTCAATATATTTCAAAATATATTGAAATAAATTATATATATATATATATATATATATATATATATACACACACACAGTATATATATATATATATATATATATATATACACATACACACAGTATAAATATATATATATATATATGTTGAAATGCGTTTTTGATATATTACAAAGTATATGAAAAATATTTACAAAAATATATTCTTCAGATTGTGTTTAACATATAAAAAAGTCATTTTAAACATATATTTTTACATATATTTGTAAATGCATTCCAAAATGTAGATTTGTAGTTTTAAAGACATACAGTATATTTGAAAATTGATTTTTTAGAAATATTTTTCATATATTTTGTAATAAAAACGCATTTCAACAAATAGATATATATATATTATATTATATTATAAATATTATTGAAATATATTGAATAAGGCCAAAATTGTAGTATTTCAAATATATGTCAATATATTTGGGAAGAATATTTTTAAAAATATATTTCAAATATATTTTTATTTCCATGTGGGAACCCTTTGATGGCACCTAGATGTTAAGTCCTTCCCAGCCAGTGTCATTAGTATAATGACAGTGTATAGTATCACTGATCACTGTATTAGTGTCACTGGAGATGTCAGTTAGTCAGTTCCATATAAGTTGCTGGTCATCGCCATTGGTAGAATAAAAAGAAAATATGAAAAATTCTAGTATACAGGGCTCAGCATAATTGAGTTCACCCCAACAGCTTTGTCAGGAAAGCGTTACTTTCCTTTCACAATCAACATTTTCTATGGGACACTATACCACAAAATACTCCCACAAATGCAGCCCATTGATTGCAAACTAAATCTGTTAATTTGCACACACAAAAACGTATTTTTCCTAACAAATTCATTCAAGACCATATTGCAAAAATGAATACACCCCAATAGAAAGTCTAATGCAGGCCATACATGGGTCAAATTCCGAAAGAATTTTGTTTAGGAAATCAGACATTTTGTGCATTTTGTAATCGGATGGTGCCATCATTGATTTCGAAATTTGAGCAACCAAGCCTTCAATTTCACCTCATGTTGCTACAGACAAGAATTTTCCTTGCCAAGAATTTTCTTTTCTTTCCAGGTCACAGCTCATGCACATTTCTTTTTCAATTACATTTCTGGCACGATTCTCCCATCATTGATTAGAAATTTGTTTGTTTTTCAAAAAATTTCCAACATGCCTGATCAATCAAATTCGGTTGGCCGTTGCTGTGGCCCACTAATGGTGCTAGATTGGAATTAAATTTCTTAGAAAGATTTTTGAAAGAAAATTCTTTCAGAATTCAACCCACGTATGGCCGGCTTTAGGATCAAAGCTAGGTTTTAGACAACAAAATCCTAATTAAAAAGAATTCAACTACGGGTGAGTCTAACTATTTATTAAACAAGTGTCCAGCAGACAGTTGATTATAAAGGGCGTTACTTAACAAAGAGAACCCCTCCCATTTCATGCTGTCAGCAATGGCACCACATGGAAGTGTCACAAAGCTTGAGGAATAAAATAATTTCTTTACACAAGAAAAGTGAAGGCTACAAGAAGGTCAGCAAAACTTTACATATCAGTCTGAATACTGTAGCAAAAGTGATACAAAAATGTAACAAATATGGAACTGCTACCATCTCACAGAGGCGTCCAGGCCATCCATGGAAGTTAACACCTCGACAGGAGCATCTTCTGATGAGTAGGGTTGAAGAAAATCGCCATGCAAGTTCACTGCAGTTAGCTAAAGAAGTAGAAAGCCAAACTGAGGTGATTGTTTCCTTTGACACAATATGGCATGCAGTGCAGAGGAATGACATGCATGGGTGTCATCCACGAAGGAAGCCTCTCCTAAAGCCCATGCACAAAAAAGCCTGCCTAGAATTTGCCAGGGCCCATGCTACTCTGGAGTGATGTGACCAAGAGAAATATTTTTGGAACTCATGGCTTCAAAACTGTATGGGATCTCAAAGATGAGGAGTACACAGAAAAATGCATGGTGACTACAGTGAAAGTGATCCTGATCTGAACCCAATCAAACACCTATGGGGAATTTTGAAGAGACAAGTTGAGCATCACTCTCCATCCAGCATCCAGGCTCTAAAAGAGGTCGTTCTTGAAGAATGGAAAAAGATTGATGTTGCAATATGTCACCAAATTGTTCATTCCATGCCTAGAAGACTTGTTGCTGTCCTTACAAATCATGGAGGTCATACAAAATACTAGATGGAGTAGTTTTTGTTGTGGGGTGTATTTATTTTTGCATCAACTAATTTGAGTAAAACTGAAGATGTTGTAATCTAAGTTATATTACTAACCTTACTTTCATGTAATGAGCCAAACAAATGTTCTATAAAACTCAGTTTTGTCAATTTTGTTTAAATTGTTCTTGTGTCCATTGAGAAATTGATTAAAATCATACTTTTCAAAAGGGGTGCACTTGTTTATGCTGAGCACTGTATATACCATAGTTTGTAGACACTAACTTTCATGCAAACCAATCAATATACACTTATTGTGCTTCTTTTTTTTTTTTTTTTTTTTTTTTTTACTAAAGACACATAGCAGAATACATTTTGGCCTAAATATATGAAAAAAATCAATTTTATTAAATGTTTTTTATTGGTTCCATTTTACACCAGAAAGTAAAAAGTATCGCCTTTCTTCAAAATTTTCTTTTTTTTTGTTTATACAATAAAAAAAAATTAAAAAAAAACCCAGAGGTGATCAAATACCACCAAAAGAAAGCTCTATTAATGTGAGAAAAAAAATACAATATTCTTTCAGGTACAGTGTTGCATGACCGCACAATTGCCAGTGAAAGTAGCGCAGTGCTAAACAGCAAAAAATAGCCTGGTCATGAAGGGGGTAAAATCTTCCAGAGCTGAAGTGGTTAATGATGGTATAGGATGTCAAGGTGTTGAGATCACAAGACTAGCTGAGCAGAATTCCAGTAAATGTATTTCGCAGTCTCCCCGGAGTTCAGCATTTATATCATAATTTTAATATTCCTGTGTCCTCCTTCACTATGGCCAGGCTCTCTTTCTGTTGGATGGCTGGAAAGGAGCACACCTGGGTTCTCGGGATTCTAACACAGTGGTGAAATAGTTAAACAGAAAAAGAAAATTGCATCTTAAAAAGTCCTTTGTTACCTGTGTGTGGCAGGAGATAGTGAATTGACTTCATTAGCTGCCTAATGTCCCAGCAAATGACTGTCAGAATGTTTGACAGTTCAGCTGTATACGGGGCCCTGCGTACCTGATGGTTAATGAGGCAAACGCCTGAGCAACATTGTGTGAGGACTCTTCCAGCACCTCTACCAGTGAGTGGCCCGGTACACATCATCGGCGTTGGTAGCGTTGTGTCTCCATCCAGGAGTGGCGCAGGATTCTCAAGGTGCACTCAATAGCATTTTAATGAGGAGTGCATTGAACCACTAAGATAAACTGCTGGCCGCACTACAAATATACAATTGTGAATGTGCTTGTCGCAATATATTATTAAAGGCTCTGAAATACACTGGAACATCAAAGTTTCATCAGTCTTTCCTGAGTTAACGCAGGCAACCTGTACTGACACCTGCTGGTGGTAGGCAGAAATGCAATTTCTAAAGAGCCTCTCTAGCTCATTCACAGCACAACACAGGCATGTGGCATTGAGTTGCTTTTTTTGTAAAGCGTTGCAATGTGTCGGCGTGCACTTTACATGCATTGCATTTCTTTGGGTGTTCCTTTGCCTGGTTTGCCTTGATTTGACTTGCAGTGAGTTGCGTTTATGCATGTTTGTGCACATTTGCATGCATTTGAACATGCTGCGCTGCGTTGCACTGTGCTGCGTTGCGCTACACTGAAAAAAAGTAGTACATGCTGTACTTTTTTCAATGCGGGGCAAATGCAGTGCAGGAATGCAAAGGCCAAAGCGATTTCCAAAGAGCATCTCTTAGGGCTCATTCACACTACAACACATACGCATTACGCTAGGTTGATTTTTTTGTAACTCATTGTAATATGTTGGCATGCGTTTTTGCCTTCATTTGCCTTGTAGTGCATTGCATTTATATGTGTTTGCATGCATTTGAATGCATGAAAGAAAAGTAGTGCATGCTTTTTCTTTTTCTTTTTCAGCGTTGGGCAAATGCAACTCAATACAATGTGCTGCATTTATAGGGAATTATTATTTTTTGGTTGCCATTCGTTAGGAATGCGCTCAAAAACGCATTCATAGGGAACCATTGTTTTTTGGTAGCCATGGATTAGGAATGCGCTCAAAAAAGCACTCATAGGAAACCATTGTGTTTTGGTTGCCATACGTTAGAAATGTGCTCAAAAACGCATTTTTAGGGAACCATTGTTTTTTGGTTGCCATGCTTAGGGATGCGCTCAAAAAAACACATTCATAGGGA